GCCCCTCGGGATAGAGTCATCTTGTTGGGTGACTTCAATGCCCGAGTTGGTCATGATGCTGGCACCTGGTCTGGAGTGATTAGAGGGCATGGGCCAGATCAGCTCAATAACAACGGTAGGAGGCTGCTAGATTTTTGTGCAGCCCATGGGCTTGTAATTACCAACACGCTGTTCCGGCATCGGCGCATCCACACATCATGGATGCATGCCGGGTCCAAGCAAGAACATCTTCTGGACTACATAGTGACGGAACAGCGGATGCGGGCCCATGTCCTTGACACCAAGACCTACTGTGGAGCTGATCTGCCCTCTGACCATCGACTAGTCATCTGTAAGATGCGCCTGCCATTCATCCACTACGGTGATGGGTGTACACCCAGGACCCCATTCCAACCTAAAGTGATGAAAGTTGCAAGCGAGGATTTCATCATCGCTTGCGGCTGGGGTTGGCATCGTCCCCCACTCCTCCTGATGTCGAGGGTAAATGGGCGAGGTTTAGGACTGTGACTCATGCAGCTGCAATGGCTGCTTTGGGTACGCGGTCCAGACCTCCCCAGAGACTCTGGCTGACAGAGGAGGTGTCAGTATGGTTGAGAAAAAGCGACAGGCCCACTGTCATCGGCTACAACATCCCACGTCGGAGAATGAGGAGGCTTACCGCAGCCTTCGCTCGGAGGTTCGGAGAGCCGTGAGGCGCTGCAAGGATGGGTGGTGGTCGTGGGTTGCTGAGGAGATGGAGTCTGCCTCAGTGGCCCGTGATCACAAATCTCTATTTAACTCCATCAAAAAAGTAACCTGCAGCGCCACACCTATTACCATCATTATGGGAAAAAAGGTGACCCAATCTCCGACCCCCAGGAACAGGTTTGCAGATTTTCTGAGCATTTCTGTGAGGTCCTGGGGGAGGGGAAATCCCTCAGCCAGGAAAACATCGTGGCACAAAGTGGGGGTGACCCTGCTGAGGCTGCGGTGCCACAAATATTGGAAGAAGTCACCCCTGTGAGTGGCTGGCTGAGGTGCCATCTGTTGAGGAAGTACTGAAGGCGATCCGGAGTCTGAGACCAGGAAAGGCAGCGGGCAGAGATGATCTCCCAAGCGAAATACTGAGGGAAGGTGGCGTTTGTGCGCAGACTGCCATACATGACATCATAACAACAGTCTGGACCACTGGACGGGTTCCACAGGAATGGAAGGATGCCCTGGTGGTCCCCCTCTTTAAGAAGGGGAACCGCACAGACTGTAACAACTACAGGGGCATCTCACTCCTCAATGTGCTGGGAAAGGATTATTCAACATCGCCTTGCCAGGCACGCTGAGGAGAGGCTTGCGGAGCCCCAATGCGGTTTCAGGAAAGGGCGGTCCTGCACAGATGCCATGTTTACTGTCCGTCTGCTGCACCAGAGGTGTAGGAAATTCCAGCAAGACCTACATCTCTGCTTTATTGACCTGGTCAAGGCCTATGATACCATCAGTAGGCCTGGGCTCTGGGTTGTTCTTTGTGCTTTCAGAGTCCCTGACCTTCTGCTCACGATCATTAAGGACCTTCATGATGGTGAGCGGGCCCGGGTAAAACTACGTGGCCGGGAGTCAGAGCCATTTCCTGTGCACCTTGGGTTGCGACAGGGATGTCCTCTGGCTCCCACATTATTTAACATCTATTTTGACCACGTAGTTCGTGAAGTCTTCAATAGCTGTACCGGGGGAATCTCCATATGGTACAGATACAATGGGAGGCTGATCGATGCCCGGGTGCGGTCAAGGGATGGCTCCCTATTGCCCAACCACGTTATGTATGCTGATGATTTGGTAATAGCTGCTCAGTCAGAGGAGGAGTTGGAGACGCTGCTGCTGAGACTGGAGCGTGCCACTAAGAGATGGGGCCTTACCATCAGCCCCACCAAAACTAAGCACCTGCCTGTGTATTTTGTACCATCGGACACTCCACCCCCACAACTCCCAATCGGTGATGGGGCAGTTGTGGAGAGAGTGGAGAGTTTCCCATACCTGGGCAGTGTGCTCATGACCGGCTCCGGTTTAGCAGCAGAGGTCTCACTCTGAATCATTCGAGCGGCAATATCTTTTCATCGGTTGCGTAACGCTGTGTGGAAGCTACCTGGTTTATCACTCCGCACTAAGCTTCAGGTCTTCTCGGCCACGGTCATTCCCTCCCTTCTATACGCTTGCGAAACGTGGACCCCCCTAATGGAACATCTTCGCCGGTTAGAAACATTTAGGCTGGTCTCCCTACAATCCATCCTGGGTTTAACTAGGCTGGATTGTGTGAGGAGCTCACAAATCCTTGAAACATCTGTACAAAGTCCCATCGGTGAGCTCCTCCGGCAGGCAAGGCTGCGTTGGCTGGGTCATGTAGCCCGGATGCCCAGCCACCACATGCCTAAACAGCTTTTGTTCGGCCGGATCGAGGGGGCTAAGCGGGCGCGGCACGGGCTAGAGAAGAGATGGAGTGATGTGGTACAGGAGGACGTGGAGCTGAGTGGACTTGCCGATGACCGGTACCAGCGGTGTCAAGATCGGCCTCTGTGGAGGAGGCTCGTGAAGGACGCTACTGGGCAGTTGGAGGCAGTCGCCCTCCAACAACAACGGAGGGCGGAGGAGCGACGCTCACAACAACGAGCGGAGCGCCGGGTGGCTAAAGCACAGCATGTTGGCACAGTAGGGGGCACAGGTGGTGCATCAGCCAGTCATCTCAGTCATCTCAGTCAGTCGACCCGTGGCACCTGCTGGGTCTGCCCCGTGACCTCCTGCCAGCGGGCGTTCGACACTCCACGTGGCCTCAGGGTGTCAGACGTCACCGCCACTTAGTGGCGAATGGCGGCTGTTGTTGTTGTTGTTGTCTGTGTGTGTCTGTGTGCGTCTGAGTATCACCGTGTGTGTCTCTGTGTCCGTGTGTGTCTCTGTGTCCGCGTGTGCTCGTGCGCGTGCAGGAGTCTACTGCAAGGTCTCGCGAGCAATCGAGTTCAACCAATGGGCGACCTCAAGGTAAGAGACCCTCTCCCGTCCCCGCTCACGGCAGTCCCGCGCCACCAGTGAGTAGCGGATGTCTGAGCCGGTTCCCCGGGCACCTCCAGACGAGTTCCTGCTGCCGCGGGTCGCCACCGGCGGCGACGAAGGCGGCCCGGCGGGCTTCTTGCGGTGGCCACGCACGCGCCGAAGTGCCGGGCTTCATCGGTGCTCGGCTAGCAGCACGTGCCACTCGCTAGCGGCACTTGTCACCCAGCACCCTACGAGGGTTACAAGTGGGGAGTAGGATTGTTGTACATGGTGGGTTGTGGGTGACGTCTGTGTGTGAGTGTCTCTCTCTGTGTGTCTCTCGCTAGCAGCACGTGCCTCTCGCTAGCAGCACTTGTCACCCCGCACCCTACGAGTGTTACAAGTGGGGAGTAGGATTGTTGTACATGGTGGGTGATGCGGAGGGTTGTTGTACATGGTGGGTGATGGGTGACGTGTGTGGGTGTCTCTGTGTCTCTCGCTAGCAGCACGTGCCACTCGCTAGCGGCACTTGTCACCCAGCACCCTACGAGTGTTACAAGCAAGAGGATTGTTGTACATGGTGGGTTGTGGGTGACGTCTGTGGGTGTCTCTCTCTGTGTGTCTCTCGCTAGCAGCACGTGCCCCTACACTCTACGAGTGTTACAAGCGGGAGTGGGTGATGGGGAGGATTGTTGTACATGGTGGTTGATGGGGATTGTTGTACATGGTGGGTGGTGGGTGAAGTGTGTTTGTGAGTGTCTCTGTGTCTCTCCAGTACCAGTCCGGCTTCGGGAATGCCCCTCGCTAGCAGCACGTGCCACTCGCTAGCGGCACTTGTCACCCAGCACCCTACGAGGGTTACAAGCGGGAGCGGGTGATGGGGAGGGTTGTTGTACATGGTGGGTGATGGGGAGGGTTGTTGTACATGGTGGGTGGTGGGTGACGTCTGTGTGTGAGTGTCTCTCTGTGTCTCTCGCTAGCAGCACGTGCCACTCGCTAGCAGCACTTGTCACCCAGCACCCTACGAGGGTTACAAGCGGGGAGTAGGATTGTTGTACATGGTGGGTGATGGGGAGGATTGTTGTACATGGTGGGTGATGGGGAGGGTTGTTGTACATGGTGGATGATGGGTGACGTGTGTGAGTGTCTCTGTGTGTCTCTCGCTAGCAGCACGTGCCACTCGCTAGCAGCACTTGTCACCCCGCACCCTACGAGTGTTACAAGCGAGAGGATTGTTGTACATGGTGGGTGATGGGTGACGTCTGTGGGTGTCTCTCTCTGTGTGTCTCTCGCTAGCAGCACGTGCCACTCGCTAGCGGCACTTATCACCCAGCACCCTACGAGTGTTACAAGTGGGGAGTAGGATTGTTGTACATGGTGGTTGATGGGGAGGGTTGTTGTACATGGTGGGTGATGGGGAGGGTTGTTGTACATGGTGGGTGATGGGTGACGTCTGTGGGTGTCTCTCTCTGTGTGTCTCTCGCTAGCAGCACGTGCCACTCGCTAGCGGCACTTGTCACCCAGCACCCTACGAGGGTTACAAGCGGGAGCGGGTGATGGGGAGGGTTGTTGTACATGGTGGGTTGTGGGTGACGTCTGTGGGTGTCTCTCTCTGTGTGTCTCTCGCTAGCAGCACGTGCCTCTCGCTAGCAGCACTTGTCACCCGGCACCCTACGAGTGTTACAAGTGGGGAGTAGGATTGTTGTACATGGTGGGTTGTGGGTGACGTCTGTGGGTGTCTCTCTCTGTGTGTCTCTCGCTAGCAGCACGTGCCACTCGCTAGCGGCACTTGTCACCCCGCACCCTACGAGTGTTACAAGCGAGAGGATTGTTGTACATGGTGGGTGATGGGGAGGGTTGTTGTACATGGTGGTTGATGGGTGACGTCTGTGTGTGAGTGTCTCTCTCTGTGTGTCTCTCTGTGTGTCTCTCCACAGTACCAGTCCGGCTTCGGGAACGAGTTCTCGTCTGAAGACCCGAGGTGTCCCGGAGCCCTTCCTGTGGGACAGGTGAGACACGGGGAGGGGTGTGGCGGGGGGGGGGGGGGGGGGACACGGGGACAAGGGGGGACACTTGGGGACAGGGGGACATTTGGGGACACTTGGAGACACTTGGAGACACTTGGGGACACTTGGGGACACTTGGAGACACTTGGAGACACTTGGGGACACTTGGGGACAGGGGGGGACACTTGGGGACACTTGGGGACACTTGGGGACAGGGGGGGGACACTTGGGGACACTTGGGGACACTTGGGGACAGGGGGGGGACACTTGGGGACAGGGGGGGACAAGGGGGACACTTGGGGACACTTGGGGACACTTGGGGACAGGGGGGACACTTGGGGACAGGGAGGGACACTTGGGGACACTTGGGGACACTTGGGGACACTTGGAGACACTTGGGGACAGGGGGGGACACTTGGGGACACTTGGAGACACTTGGAGACACTTGGGGACACTTGGGGACACTTGGGGACACTTGGGGACAAGGGGGGACACTTGGGGACACTTGGGGACAAGGGGGGACACTTGGGGACACTTGGGGACTGGGGGGGACACTTGGGGACACTTGGGGACAGGGGGGGACATTGGAGACACTTGGAGACACTTGGAGACACTTGGGGACACTTGGGGACACTTGGGGACAAGGGGGGACACTTGGGGACACTTGGGGACAGGGGGGGACACTTGGGGACACTTGGGGACAGGGGGGGACACTTGGGGAGAGGGGGGGACAAGGGGGACACTTGGGGACACTTGGGGACACTTGGGGACAGGGGGGACACTTGGGGACACTTGGGGACAGGGGTGGACACTTGGAGACACTTGGAGACACTTGGGGACACTTGGGGACACTTGGGGACAAGGGGGGACACTTGGGGACACTTGGGGACACTTGGGGACAGTGGGGGACACTTGGGGACACTTGGGGACAGGGGGGGGACACTTGGGGACAGGGGGGGACAAGGGGGACACTTGGGGACAGGGAGGGACACTTGGGGACACTTGGGGACACTTGGGGACACTTGGAGACACTTGGGGACAGGGGGGGACACTTGGAGACACTTGGAGACACTTGGGGACACTTGGGGACACTTGGGGACACTTGGGGACACTTGGGGACAAGGGGGGACACTTGGGGACACTTGGGGACAAGGGGGGACACTTGAGGACACTTGGGGACAGGGGGGGACACTTGGGGACACTTGGGGACAGGGGGGGACACTTGGAGACACTTGGAGACACTTGGAGACACTTGGGGACACTTGGGGACACTTGGGGACAAGGGGGGACACTTGGGGACACTTGGGGACAGGGGGGGACACTTGGGGACACTTGGGGACACTTGGGGACAGGGGGGGGACACTTGGGGACAGGGGGGGACAAGGGGGACACTTGGGGACACTTGGGGACACTTGGGGACAGGGGGGACACTTGGGGACACTTGGGGACAGGGGGGGACACTTGGAGACACTTGGAGACACTTGGAGACACTTGGGGACACTTGGGGACACTTGGGGACAAGGGGGGACACTTGGGGACACTTGGGGACACTTGGGGACAGGGGGGGACACTTGGGGACACTTGGGGACACTTGGGGACAGGGGGGGGGACAAGGGGGACACTTGGGGACACTTGGGGACACTTGGGAACAGGGGGGACACTTGGGGACAGGGAGGGACACTTGGGGACACTTGGGGACACTTGGGGACACTTGGAGACACTTGGGGACAGGGGGGGACACTTGGGGACACTTGGAGGCACTTGGGGACACTTGGGGACACTTGGGGACACTTGGGGACACTTGGGGACAAGGGGGGACACTTGGGGACACTTGGGGACAAGGGGGGACACTTGGGGACACTTGGGGACAGGGGGGGACACTTGGGGACACTTGGGGACAGGGGGGGACACTTGGAGACACTTGGAGACACTTGGAGACACTTGGGGACACTTGGGGACACTTGGGGACACTTGGGGACAGGGGGGGACACTTGGAGACACTTGGAGACACTTGGAGACACTTGGGGACACTTGGGGACAAGGGGGGACACTTGGGGACACTTGGGGACACTTGGGGACAAGGGGGACACTTGGGGACACTTGGGGACACTTGGGGACAGGGGGGGGCACTTGGGGACACTTGGAGACACGTGGGGACACTTGGGGACACTTGGGGACACTTGGGGACAAGGGGGGACACTTGCGGACACTTGGGGACAAGGGGGGACACTTGGGGACACTTGGGGACAGGGGGGGGACACTTGGGGACACTTGGGGACAGGGGGGGACACTTGGAGACACTTGGAGACACTTGGAGACACTTGGGGACACTTGGGGACACTTGGGGACAAGGCGGGACACTTGGGGACACTTGGAGACACTTGGAGACACTTGGGGACACTTGGGGACACTTGGGGACAAGGGGGGACACTTGGGGACACTTGGGGACAGGGGGGGGACACTTGGAGACACTTGGAGACACTTGGAGACACTTGGGGACACTTGGGGACACTTGGGGACAAGGGGGGACACTTGGGGACACTTGGAGACACTTGGAGACACTTGGAGACAGGGGGGGACACTTGGAGACACTTGGAGACACTTGGAGACACTTGGGGACACTTGGGGACAAGGGGGGACACTTGGGGACACTTGGGGACACTTGGAGACACTTGGAGAAACTTAGGGACACTTGGGGACACTTGGGGACAAGGGGGGACACTTGGGGACACTTGGGGACAAGGGGGGACACTTGGGGACACTTGGGGACAAGGGGGGACACTTGGGGACACTTGGGGACAGGGGGGGACACTTGGAGACACTTGGAGACACTTGGAGACACTTGGGGACACTTGGGGACACTTGGGGACAAGGGGGGACAGTTGGGGACACTTGGGGATACTTGGAGACACTTGGGGACACTTGGGGACACTTGGGGACAAGGGGGGACACTTGGGGACACTTGGGGACAAGGGGGGACACTTGGGGACACTTGGGGACAGGGGGGGACACTTGGAGACACTTGGAGACACTTGGAGACACTTGGAGACAGGGGGGGACACTTGGGGACACTTGGGGACAAGGGGGGACACTTGGGGACACTTGGTGACACTTGGAGACACTTGGGGACACTTGGGGACACTTGGGGACAAGGGGGGACACTTGGGGACACTTGGGGACAAGGGGGGACACTTGGGGACACTTGGGGACAGGGGGGGACACTTGGAGACACTTGGAGACACTTGGAGACAGTTGGGGACACTTGGGGACACTTGGGGACAAGGGGGGACACTTGGGGACACTTGGAGACACTTGGAGACACTTGGAGACAGGGGGGGACACTTGGAGACACTTGGAGACACTTGGAGACACTTGGGGACACTTGGGGACACTTGGGGACACGGGGGGACACTTGGGGACACTTGGGGACACTTGGAGACACTTGGAGACACTTGGGGACACTTGGGGACACTTGGGGACAAGGGGGGACACTTGGGGACACTTGGGGACACTTGGAGACACTTGGAGACACTTGGGGACACTTGGGGACAAGGGGGGACACTTGGGGACACTTGGGACAAGGGGGGACACTTGGGGACACTTGGAGACACTTGGAGACACTTGGAGACAGGGGGGGACACTTGGGGACACTTGGGGACAAGGGGGGACACTTGGGGACACTTGGGGACAAGGGGGGACACTTGGGGACACTTGGGGACAGGGGGGGACACTTGGAGACACTTGGAGACACTTGGAGACACTTGGAGACACTTGGAGACAGGGGGGGACACTTGGGGACACTTGGGGACAAGGGGGGACACTTGGGGACACTTGGAGACACTTGGAGACACTTGGGGACACTTGGGGACAAGGGGGGACACTTGGGGACACTTGGGGACAAGGGGGGACACGTCGGGACACTTGGGGACAGGGGGGGACACTTGGAGACACTTGGAGACACTTGGAGACACTTGGGGACACTTGGGGACACTTGGGGACAAGGGGGGACACTTGGGGACACTTGGAGACACTTGGAGACACTTGGAGACAGGGGGGGACACTTGGAGACACTTGGAGACACTTGGAGACACTTGGGGACACTTGGGGACACTTGGGGACAAGGGGGGACACTTGGGGACACTTGGGGACACTTGGAGACACTTGGAGACACTTGGGGACACTTGGGGTCACTTGGGGACAAGGGGGGACACTTGGGGACACTTGGGGACACTTGGAGACACTTGGAGACACTTGGGGACACTTGGGGACAAGGGGGACACTTGGGGACACTTGGGGACAGGGGGGGACACTTGGGGACACTTGGAGACAGGGGGGGACACTTGGAGACACTTGGAGACACTTGGAGACACTTGGGGACACTTGGGGACACTTGGGGACAAGGGGGGACACTTGGGGACACTTGGAGACACTTGGAGACACTTGGGGACAAGGGGGGACACTTGGGGACACTTGGAGACACTTGGGGACACTTGGGGACACTTGGGGACAAGGGGGGACACTTGGGGACACTTGGGGACAAGGGGGGACACTTGGGGACACTTGGGGACAGGGGGGGACACTTGGAGACACTTGGAGACACTTGGAGACACTTGGGGACACTTGCGGACACTTGGGGACAAGGGGGGACACTTGGGGACACTTGGGGACACTTGGGGACAAGGGGGGACACTTGGGGACACTTGGGGACACTTGGAGACACTTGGGGACACTTGGGGACACTTGGGGACAAGGGGGGACACTTGGGGACACTTGGGGACAAGGGGGGACACTTGGGGACACTTGGGGACAGGGGGGGACACTTGGGGACACTTGGAGACACTTGGAGACACTTGGAGACACTTGGGGACACTTGGGGACAGGGGGGGACACTTGGAGACACTTGGAGACACTTGGAGACACTTGGGGAACACTTGGGGACAGGGGGGGACACTTTGGGACACTTGGGGACAGGGGGGGGGACACTTGGAGACACTTGGAGACAC